AATTCGTGAATCTGAGTGTGCTCCAGTGCCACAGCCATGATCGCCTGCTCTGCCTGGCAGTTTGTACAAGCAGCCATTTGTTAGTAAAATAGACTTCACTAGTGATTTTTCAGCTCAGAGTGCCCTTGTGCAGTCTGATAGAACCTGCAGAAGCTGAGCTTTTGTCTCCTGGCTGTGGCATTTTGCATTTCACAGGTGGTGACTTGATAGAACAGTAAAAACATCTAATTTTCACTTCTTGTTTGGTTGCTTTCACTTGACATAATTTATTTGGTTTTGGTTTTTGTTTTTCCCTGTGTAGGTTTGCATCCAGTGGTGTTGCCACATTTATTTCCTTTTCAGTTCAAAAAAAAATTAAATTGCATAAATGAAACTTTTTTTTTCCTTTACCCAGATTTATCTTTCCCAGAAGACGTGTGTAAGTTAAAAGTATTATCATTCTTTAGATTAGGTAAATCTGGCCTGTGCGAAGCACAGGAAATGTGTTCCTCAGTATTGCTGGTGTTGGAATGCTGTATGGAGCCAGGCTCTCCATAGAGCCCTACTGTCACTACACTGATTTGACAAACAGCCCTGTGACACTTTAGTGAGCATTTGTGGATAGAACAGATGTGGGAGACCAGCCTGTTGTACAGGTGGGAAACACTTTCCCCTCTATATTTTAATCAGTTTGTTGCTTTTCAGAGATACAGGCATGTGCTCCTGGAGAAAATTGTCTTTTGAAAGCAGTAAGGGATATTATTAAGGGCTTTCAGTGCCCTGGCTCATGTCACTTTATCTTCTTAAATGAGCAAAAACAGGGTGAAAGCATTCTGCAGTTACACAAATAGGTAAGCTCAGATTCGTGATTTTGATCCTGCCCTTCCTTTTTCCTTTGCCTGGTGTCAGATCTTTCCTGTTGCACAGTATAAGCTCCTCAACAGAGGAGTTTTTTGCCTTTGTGTTTTTTGTTTTGTAGGGAGGAAAAAGAAAACACTCTGGACAAATATTTTAATTCCCTGTGACACATTAAATGTGAAGAATTGTATTATCCTGGCTGCTTGGTAGCAGCAAGCTGGTTTGCCACCAAATTTATTGCAATTGAACAGTCTTCCAGCAGCAAGAGATAAAAACTCAGTGAGTTTTGTATGTTCTTGTCTGATGTAGAAGTATTAAAGGGACCGGTACTTATTTATATAGCTCTTCTGAAAATCTGAGTGGTTGTAAGTACTAAATTAAGTGTGAAGCAGACAGTTACATAATATCCACATTTTACAAACAGGGCTAATCCCAATTCAGAAAGGTTGGCTGTGCTTGACCATGTGGCATCATTACCAGAAGGAGAAATAATGAGTTCTTTGAGTTCCTTGAGCTTAGCTCTGTATTATGGGTTTCAGGCACTTCAATCTGTTTGGTTATAAGAGCAGAGGTTATTAAATGCGTGCTGCTTAAATAATTTAACTCTGTTATCTCTGCTACTTTTCTCTCTGTGCTTACAATCCGTTCTTCTATGTGAGTGCCTATTATATTGAGTTGTATTGGGCCAGATTTCTATTAAATCAGATTATAAAACTGTGAAATACAAAATTATGATCAAGAAATGGTATTCAGCATCAAATTGTCCTTAATAAAAAGTGTTTGGATTTGAACTACGACATTTGTTCCATCAGTTTGAAGATCCTGGTCTTTTTAAATAGGAAGGCTTTTATCAGAGAGTTATAGACAAGGACTTAAGAATACTGGATCAGCTCAGAATTGAGTACACCAACATGTTGGCTCATGCTTTTGACTTGGCTCTAGTCAGAAATACTTCATGTTCTTCTTCACAGTCTGTGTCTTTGGTCAGTATTGCCCAACTGTTCCCCCGTTTCATCAGTACATTGAGGCATTTTTTTGGAGCATCTGATTTTGAATTTGGGAAAGAACTGTCTGTGTAAAAATCATTTCATGTCCTTTTCTTTTTAAGGAAGTTGCTATGCAGCACTACTAATGAATAAATAAATTTTATCTTATCTGCATGGTCTCTCAGAAGCACTGTGTAGAAGTTAAGATACAGTACAAAACCTCTGTGTTTACCTTACTTGTTGTTACTTGATTATTCCCAATACTTCAGTGATAACAGTAATAGAGCACTTCATATGCAAAACCCTTGGGGTAGAGATTTGCAAACTTCTGGTGTTTGTTGCCAAGTTTATTCTTTACAAAGCATTCTCACCCATTGCTAGGAGTACCACACCTGAGTCTGTACCAATCCTTTTCCATTTTCTGCTGTAGGGCAGCTTTCTAACATAACCAGACTTAAACTTTTCTTTTGGTTTATTCATATGGCTTCTTGGTGTACCACTTGAAGGCAATTGCCTTTTTTAATATTAACATGTTGTCAGATAGACTTTAATGAAAGCTTAGGGCTACTACACGTTATTGATCATATTTATTTAAAATAGACGGCATGACCTGGAACACTTGCATAGTTTGGTCAAGTTGGCTAAAGAAAATCCTTGTTTTGGAAGGGGATATGTGTTACTGTCTGTAGGGAGACGATTGGTATTTTCATGCTAGGGTCATTTCTGGTGGAGGTTGGATTGTGCCTTGGTTGGGGGGCAGTATAAAGGCTGGAAACTTAGGAAGAAAATCCTACTGTGTCTACAGGGTTGGAGTGGTGGGGTTTGGTACAGACAGATGGAGACCTCTAGGGAACAAGTTTAACAAATACACTGTTAAAAAAGATTATTGGGGCATCTCAAGTGGGAGATACACATTGGGTAGAAGACCTCCCAAGAGCACCATAGGAGTGGAGACTCCCAAGAATCATTATTTCCAAAGAAATTTTGTGACTAAGGAGGATTTAATTTCTCTGAGGGTACTTCAACTTGTATCTGAAACATGACTCTTCTCCTTTCATACTAAATATACCTCAAATATGTATTTTTTTTTAATCAAACCAGTTAGTAGTAATGATCAGTTGCAATATTTGTTGATGCACTTTTTAGCCTTTTTGTACAGCTTTTATGTTTGCCTCCAATATATTTATTACTTGCATGCAGTGTTTTCTTTGTTTCTGGTTTGGTCCTTAAGCCCTTAGTGTGTGCCCCAGCTAGACTTCAAAATCGCCTTCAGCAACTTGCTAATGCTTGTGGCATTAACCTTTCTGCAGGGGGTTGTGATGTTTATTTATAAAATTCCAGTTTTCCACTTACAAATAGAATATTATTAAGAGAGTCTTCTTTTTGCCAATTAGGTCAAAGTCCTAAAATTTTAAGACCTAAACCACATGGTTTAGAGCGAACTGATTCACAAACCATAGGTGACTTTACTACACGAAGAAAGGGTATGTACTTTAGCACTGTATGTATATGGGGCTTTATAAAAAGAAGTGAATAAAAAATTAAGAAAATTGTACTTTTAGAATAACTCTGGCATATTCTTTTCTGCTATAGTCTGAGGTCATGAATGCATTTTCCATGCCAAGCAACTAGTTTCCTGTATAAGGAATTAAAGATTTTCTGGCTTGAAGAGTGCATGGAAACCTTTCTTTGATATTAGCATGAATGTTCTGATCTCTTAAGTTGTAGCTGTTCATATTTTGTCTATTTATTTAGAGGGAAGTATATAATAACTTGTAAATTGTACATGATAACTTTTAAGTTACTTGAAACTTTTGTTAGGCAATAAGCTGAAATCACAATTCACTCAGGTCTCTTGAAATGAAGCAAAATACTGATCTTCTGATCATACACTAGTACAGACATCTATTTATGCACCTTAAAAAGGATTGCAATTAATTTGATGGGCTTTATTGAAGATGCTGAGTTGGTGCCTTACATAGTCACAAGAAAATTATGAACAACATTAAAAATCTCAGAGAAATATCACTAATTACCTTCGGGTTTTGAAGTCCATTGCAACAGGATGAAGTACTTCTGCTGTTCTTGATGGGCTTTGGACGAAGTCCTGGCTCTGTCTGCTGCAGCAGTGCCTTGCCCACTGTTTATTCCTTGTCTCAGACCTTTACAGAGGACCTGAGCCAATCTGATCAATTTTTGTGTCAGTCGTGCTTTAATATCATCTTGCCTATGTTGCATTCAGTTCTGTCATTATGTGCCTGACACTTGATCTTAGTGAACCTGCCAAGAGGCAGAAAACTCGTGGTGGGAGTGGGCACAAGGAGAGAAAGGGCTGTTTTTATGATGATATTGCATTCTATTTTCTAAAAACAGCTTTAGGGAGGATAAAGTTGACAGCAGTTTGACTCTGTGATTTTTTTTTTCCAAAATCCTTTTTATACTTTGGTTTTTTTCTAATGTTTAGGAGGGGTGAGACATATAAGCTGGAGGGAGGGATAATGTGGGTCTTGCTAATAGCCTACTTATGGTTCTGTTCTGAAACTGGAGTTTAAAAATGGCACTTTTTTTGAGAGCAGTGTTATCTGTCGTGAGTGGCACTTTGCTCTGCTGGACTGTGGATGAGCTCTGAAGTGAGCCAGGCTCCTCCTGCTGTTTGCTCACTTTTGCAGACCTAGTCTTAGCTGCAGGTTCTGCCCACTCGTGGAGCTATGAAACATCACCAGTAAGGGCACAAGTACACAGCGAGGGCAGAGTTTGCATATTAACAGCTGGCCCTGAACCAAGAAAAGTCCCCAGAGCTGGCTCTGCTGAAACAGCCCATCAGCCCTGCCTTGGCTTGCCAGCTCAACAAGTCATCAAGGCAGAATGAGGACAGAACATGGTGTTGCCACTTTCAAAACAGAATTACTACCTATGCTGCAAAATTCTGAAGTTGCAGTGGGTTTTTTGAATTTTATATTTTAATTTTTAAATTGATGTTTCCTCTCATTATCTGGAAAGATTAAAAACATAAGTTAATATATCATGTCTTTCTGAAAATTGAAGTGTCTCCCTTTCCTTACTAGTATTTACTATTTGAAAGATACAGGTTTTTGCTGTATTTAGGCTGTGAAAAGCTATTCAATTTAAGTTGTTTAGGAAAGTTCTGTGCTTTACAATTGTCTGTTTCTTACATAGCAAAACCAGCTCCACTAGAAATAAAACCTCTGCCTGAGTGGGAAGAATTACAAGCTCCAGTTAGATCTCCTATCACCAGAAGCTTTGCACGAGAGTAAGTTTCTTGAATTTTCCTCATTCAGATTAATAATTTCAGTGACAGAAGTGTTAATAAATGTTTGTACATCTGTATCATATCTTTAGCTTGTTTGTTGCTTGAAGTTTCCCTTGGAAGAGTGTGAGTCTGTGTGTGTATTTGTCCATTGAAATAAACTGTGTCCATGTGAAATTTTGTTTTGTGATACTAAATATAAGGGACTGTGTATAACCAAAAAATGTGACACTAGTAAACTTGAATGAAAATTTCAGCTCTAACATGCTTATTTTTGTTGTTTACCAGGAGGTTTAAGATATTGCAGATGTATTGTTTGTAAAATAATTCCTGGTAATTAGCTCCTCCAGGTTTCCCGTGTCTCCCAGACCGGATTCAGTTCATAGCACAACTTCCAGCAGTGACTCGCATGACAGTGAAGAGAATTATGTATCCATGAACCCAAATCAGTCCACTGACGACCCAGTATGTAAAATCTTCGTCTTAACTACTCTCTTCCTGTGCAGTCCTTACTTTTAAATCATGCAAACACACATCCTTCGCTCAGCATCACTCCCTTTATACTTCTACAGAATCAACAGAATCATAAAAAAATCTCCATAGGAAAGCTGTAATTTTGGCAGGATTTCACTGAAGAAGTTAAGAGCATAAAGAAAATGGTTGATACGTATCTATTATATAAAACAGTGTACAACATGACTTTTTTCTCCTTCTTTCCTAGAATCTGTCCCCTCTTTGTAATTTCTTGTAATTTCTGAATACCAGTTCAGTATTATGACATGAAGGGAAGTAAACTGTCCTAGGACCTCTGAGGCATGCTTAAACTGTTTTAAAAGGGCATCTTCCAGGAAATGTAGAAGGAACGGGGGAAAAAAACGATTGATACTTGTTGTATACGTTCTATGAAAACTGAACCATGTGTATGTTATTAGGCATCTTTCAAAGAAGATAGAAGGAGTCTTTGTGTATTGAGTGTCTGTATTTTTTCCTCTTTGGGGGAGAATTTTCTCAGATATTGAAGCTTCAGATACTTAGCATGGAGTGCAGCTAGTTAGGAAAAGTTAATGATGCACACTCTGGTTTTTCTTTGGTGAGGGGAAGCAGAGAGAGAAAAAGACCCAATAGCAGTAGTTTTAAGGAAGACAAAAGCAGTAGACCTAGGCCTAAACTAAAATGTGGTTTAGAATATGCATAAAACACCAGAGGAAAACTGTATCTTGAGCTATGCTTTTCGTCTAGTGTAGAATCATGGACCAGTTTGGATTGAAAGGGACCTTAAAGATCATCTTGTTCAACCTCCTATGCCATGGGCAGGGACAGTCTACTAGACTGGGTTGTTCAAAGCCCCATGCAGTCAGTTCAGTGCACTCATATGTTTGGGTTCTTAGTAGGGAATACAGCAGTATTTTTCATCTTTAAATCATTTATGTATGACAGCCTTTGGGGAGGGTCTGTCTAGCACCCTTTTTGTTCTGTTTGTATGTCTGCCTTCTTATATGGCATATGCTGGCCCATCTCGCTGCCCCTGGACTCTCCTCTCGCAACGCTGTTCACTTTCTTGTCCCGTGCTACTCTGGATCCCCTCCCAGTCTCCTCCTGTGTCCCTGCCCCGCAGCTCGCCACTGCTGCCTCTGGATGATGCTACATCCCAGGTCCCCCTTGTGCCATTCCCTGTGGGAGCTGGTGGGGTGCAGGCTCCAGAGCCTGCGAAGCGCCCCAAGCTGTACCTTGTGCCGTGCCTGTTGTGCTTCCCAGGGAAAAGCACTGAGCACGGGGGAACTGCTGATGTTAAATCTTAGCTCCTCTCTTGCAAGGGCCATTGGTAAGTAATGGGTGATGTCCCATTTCACAGGTGCGTCCTATATTACACCAGAGATTAGCCCCACCCGTGCCCAAAGTTCTCCCTGCACAGAATCGCAGTTCAACCCCCGTGTTTCTGTTGATTCTTAAGGCTGTTCCAGGGGCTTAACTTCCATACCAAGATGGTACAATTAATGCTCCAGCTCATTAATATCCTCTGTTTGCTTGCACCAGTCCTATTTTAAGGTTATTCTACAAATTTCCTTTCTGTTTCATTTGCGTGTATTTAAAGTATCTGTTTTCTAATGCATATGTTCTGCCTGCCTAGTTTGTTTGAAATAAGAGATTATTTTTTTGTTTAATGAGTAACAGCTTTTTAAATTTATGCTGGAAACATTGATACAGAATCTGATTTTTGTATCTTTAATACACAGAAATTTGTTCTGAGAATTTGAGAAACAAAAATGAACTTCATATCAGTTGTTTGTGTTTGTCCATGTTACCACTTAATGTTAAATGAGTTGGACAGTAGAGATATAATGGATAACTTAAATTTTAAAAGTCCAGTCCATTTGGCTTTAGCCCATAAAATATTTTATTTCCTAAAGAACCAGAACATTTCCAGCTTTCTCACAGACTTAGTTTTCAAATTTGACTTTTTGAGAATTTTTACTTGTTCCAACTCTATCTTAGCAAGGAGTCCATATTTTTTAAATCTTTTTCTGTCATCAGCTTTGAAGCATCTTGTTTGAACATGTCATGCTTATGTTATATTTAATAAAATCAGCAATATTCTGCTTTTTCTTTCAAGCTGCTCTCAGCCTTACCCCTCTGTCTTTCCTTCTGCCTTCCTCTTCATTTTTTGCTGACTGCTGCCCTCTGTCTTCCTGTTTTTTCTTTATCTTTTAGAGAAGAGTCCTTCTATTGTACTGTTCCTATAACACCTGTTAAGAGGGAGGGATCAGGCTGGGAGAGGACAGAGGAGGTGAGGTTGTAAAAGTCTGGGCTAATTGAAATTTAGGTATATACAATGCAACTTAATTTCAGGCAGCCCTACACATATTTTCCAAAGTATTAATATATTAATCTTGTCAATTGAACAATACTCTTTGATTTTCACCTTAATCGTGATGACTTTTGAATGAAATGTAAAAGTTTAGTTTTTAGCTTTGCCACTTCTGTAAAGCAGAAATTATTGTAGGTATTTAACAACAACTGAGGGAAATAGAGAAGTTTGTGCTGAAGTAATGCTAAATTTGAGATATAACAACTACATTTAAAAAGAATAAAAGATGATCTGTTCTTTTTTCATGATATGAAGAGGCCATTAAGTGGAAAGCACAGATGGGTTTGGTGGCAGCCTTAAATTTGGGAGGGTGGTTTTCAGGTTTTTTCCTCTCACTGGGTTTTTACTCTGTCCCATTTTTGACATAGAATGTATTCCTTTGCCATATAGGGTCAATGAAATTTGCATTATTTAAGTGATTGCAAGAGTCTCAGTAATTTTCATAACCTTTTACATTTCTGGTAGTTTATAATAAGCATATTTGATAATGTGGACCACTAGTTTGTACATTCGTAGATGAAGTTGTTTATACTATGATTTCAGAATTTGTTTGGAAGCAATAGCCTTGATGGAGGAAGCAGCCCTATGGTAAAACCTAAAGGAGATAAGCAAGTGGAATATTTAGATCTGGACCTAGATTCGGGAAAGTCTACCCCGCCTCGTAAGGTAAGCAGATGTTCATCTCTTGCTGTTGTGCCATCAGGAGTTCAAAATTGCCTTCAGCAAGACCTCTTAGTGGTCATTTCTCAAATGATTAGTGGATAGACAGTGCTGGACCTTTCAGAGAAACCAGTGCTTGTTCTGTGTCTGGGACACCTACTTGCTTTTTTGTTGTTAATTTACTTGAACTTGTTTCTCACCGTTCCCAGAAGAAGAACAGTGGCTCAGGCAGCAGCATGGCAGACGAGAGGGTTGATTACGTTGTGGTGGACCAGCAGAAAACGCTGGCCCTGAAGAGCACGCGAGAGGCATGGACTGATGGCAGACAGTCTACGGAGTCCGAGACACCCACGAAAAGTGTGAAGTGAAAACACTGCTTTGTCTTTGAAGAATGGAGAGAACTGAATTTTGAAGAATCACAGAACCATAATGGTAGTGTTGTTCAGCTGTACAGTACCTGATTCCCTGGGGTGGGAATCAGTTCCTCACCAAATAGGTTGGAAGCCAAAAGACACTTTGAATATATCAAAGGAACTTTAAGATCATGAATTGGCTCTGTGGTGTCTGGAAAAATCACAGCCTGTAAATAACCTGTAAAATAATCTCACTTAGCTTTCAGAAAGTCTTTTGTTCTGTAGTTAACACATTTGTGGTATTACAGTGTTTATGCACTTTCTCAGTTACAATGTTGGTTCAGGTATTCACAGTTAGTGTACCTTAATGTCTAATTCATCTGGAGAATTCTTTTTTCCTTACACTACTATTCCTCACAATTTTAGGTTAATTAAGCTACATGTAGATATGGAAATTAATATTTGGACTTCATTTTAACAACTCAAAATTTATTTTGCAGAAATACTTTCACAATTGAATAATCTACTTGAAATGCCAAGAGACAACTGTTAGTTACATACTTGTTTATATTTAATACATACAAGATTATTTGGAAGTCTACAGGTTACCTTCCTAACAAAAAATTGCTGTGAGTTAATAATAATGAACTGTACTGGGTTTAGACCTAAAATCCTGGCTTATATGTTAGTTGTTAGTGGTGGAACTTCTATTGTATTTTATTAATGACAGTGTTCTGTGTTCAGTGGGTGAAGATTCTGCAGGGTGGGATCTTACACTTTCAAAGACTGAATAATTAAATGTCAAGTAAGCCTGCAAACCACTGATGGCATGCAGTAATATTGTGATCTCACACTTATTAACAAGAAATAACCTTTATATTATTTACAGAAGGTAGAGTATATAAATCAGGTACGTACCAAGCACTGTTGTGCTAATACACTGATCAGGTTTAGACAATGAGCTTTAGTTTTGTACTGTTTAGAAGTTCTAATGTCAGTTTTCAGTACAAGATTAATGGGACAGTTTGACTTTCACTTTTTGTAGTGCTAGCAAAATACTGTGATTTTGAATTAGACATTAATTCAAATGGAAATACTATGTTTTAACACCATAGTGCCCTTCTTATGAGCTCTATTTTACTTTAATCTCCTGCTTGGCCTTATATTTAAATTCCTATGCAACTGATATTTTATATCTCTGTTTTTAAAAATTAGATAATATACCTGAATGATCCCCTTGTAAACCACTTGTTGCTCTTTCCTGGTACCGGATTTTAAACTCTGTATACTGTGATCCTTTATTTTACTATGCCAGTTCCAAATAATAATCTGCCTTGGTTTAGAAACAATTTTTTGTTATTTGGAAGAAGATAGAATTCTTTAAATACATGAATGAGTTAGGTCTAGATAGAAAACTTACTAACACTTTTGTTTTATACAAATGTCCTCAATTAAGTGGTTGGTTTCATTTTATTGCCCAGTTGGTGTTTTTTTGTCCAGATCATTTAAAAGATGAGTTTAAAGCTGCGTTGTTTTCTGGCATGTTGGCCTTCATACTGTGCCTAATCTACCATTGGTTGTTTCTCTTCCCTAACAGCCACAATTTACAGTATGTAAATTTTCTTATTCTTAACAAAGGTTCTTTTAAAATTAGTAATATTTTGATGCTTTGAATGTTCATTTTAAAAAAGAAACTAAACACAGTGCATTTTGAGGTGAATTTTAAATAAATCAAGTTGTTCTGTTTTGGTGTGTAAAATGTGTAAATTGTCGTGTAAAGCAGCAAACGGATGTCAGTGTGTCTGGGAAGGTGCCTGGATACCAACCACATTTTTTCAGAATTGTAGATGTACAGCTAGAACATTTTTAACTTGGATCTCTGATTTAAAACCGTGTGCCAAGAAGCCAAATAATGTGAATTCCCACTCTTTTGGGAGTCAGGAAAAAATCAGTCTCCTAAGCCGTCCTTCTCTTGCTGAGCTTGTGATAGAAAATGAGTTTGCTCTAAGTTTGCTGATATCAGTCCTTGATTTACAGATTACACTTACTCTTTCTTCATTTAAAATTTGGCAGGATTCGCAACATTATTTGTTATTATGATTGAGAATCCACTCTTAATTTCTAGGCTTTTCCCTTTTCTTTTGTGAAGGAAAACAGGAGTTTCCACACTGTACAGACAGTGTAAGATTTTCTAAGTAGCAGTCTACAATTTATCTTTAATTAGATTTCTAAGCAGTTTTCTCCCCCATATTCCAGTATTACATTTTCCATACTTACATGCTGTCCATGGTATGTTCAGAATCAGAGGTGTGATATAAACATTTGATGCTTCAGGTGTGATATTAACTTTTGATATTAACCAGTGAAGCTACAGGGGCTTCACAGGGCAGATCTGTCTCAGCTCTTGGATGGTCTAAGGATGTGAATATAAAATTGAAAATGTGGCTTCTGAAGTTGTAGGTGATAGAAAGCAAGTGGAACTGATATCAGCCCTGTGTCACTTCCAGTTACTGGCTTTGTGAGGACATTCTAGTTGGAGGCAAGCTGGTGGAAACTTTAGTAGATAGTGGTGCAGAAGTAGTTTGTCAACGTTTTTTCTCAAGTGTTCTTTTTTCAAACAGGTAAGTTTTCTCTTATTTCACTTAAACTCTATATTACCAGTTGCAGATACAGTTTTCATTGCTATATGTCATTATAAATTGCAAATATATATGTGCAATATGTCTTTTACAAATACACAACATCTTGCTCTTGAAAATCAGAAGAAAACTTGGAGCCTTGTACACTAAGATTGACTTGAGAGGTGATTTGATATAATTTCTTGGTGTGATCTGAGCATTTCTTTATCTGCTGAGTACCAATAGCCACACTTTTACACACTGTGATATAATGACTATTACCTCATGAAGTGCAGGTGCAAACACAGCTGCTCTGTTCCGCTAGAACTTTGTAATGTGACATGGAAAAAGGTGAAAATGTGGTCATTAGTCTTTTTTCTTTACTGATATTTGTATTTATGTAAAAAAATAATAACCCATTCATGTGTGACAATTGAGACATAGTGCCACACCTAGGAGTACAGACAAATTACAGTATGGCTGTTTTGATTAAGTAGTTTACAATTTATTGCTTCTTGTAGCTAATTAGGGAGTCATGGGCACCTCTGTAGCTTTTACAGTGCACTTACAAGCCAAGCAAGATTTTTATCACAGTGAAATTTAAGTTTAGCTATTACTGCAGCAGTAAATTTTTGTGTGTGTGTGTATACATGTATATGTATATATATATATGTGTAGTATTCTTGCAAAAGTACTTTGGAAACTTAGCAGCCCCGGAGAAAAGTTCCATTCCCTCCTTAGCTTTTAGTTTGTATCATGAAAAGTGAATGGATGTTTCTTTGCTCAAGGAGAAGGTACTGCCATACAATATCAGTGGGCAATTTGGACAACAGTAGTGTCACTTCATCTGTCGAAATATTTTATACCTGTAGTTCTTAAGAAGCTCAGCACTATCCGCAGATTAACTTAAATTTCAAGATTATTCTCCATATTTCCTAGATCTGCTCTTGATCTCTGTATATTGCACCTAACTGCTTCTTAAATGTTAATTTCTTGTGGTTTGTTTTATTTCTTGGGGATACTAATATGGCCATGACCACAAAAAAAGGTGTTTGTCCAGCAATTAGTGTAATAAGTGTCCCACAAAAACATTGTGTTGATTGGGTGTAGATGAAACCAAATCCCAAGCAATGAGGTTTCTGGATTTTGCTGTAACTGAACACACATTTTGAGTTCAGCTCTCAGCCTGACAAGGTGCAGAGTGGGATACAAACAAAAGGTGTTGAGAGGGTTATGAACAATATCTTTGACATTTTAAGTTTTCCAGAATACGTTTATGGTTCCACAGCCCTGATGTTAATTTTCAGTAGCAAAAGTGGGAGGAGAAGAGGTATTGGATGCATGACCAGTTGAAAGGTTTTTGCCATCTCGTGGTTAAGTAAACAGAACTAGACAGTTCTGGTGCCAATGATTTTCTTTCTAGATGGTCTAGAAGAGAAAATGTCCATGTTTCATTTGAAGGGGATGATCTGTTTTCTTCAGCTTTTTTATAAGAAGCAGGTTAGCTGAAGTGGACAGTTGTGTAATCTGCTGTGCACACACACAAAATGTTTAACTTTAATATATGCTAAAATGGAATAGAATAAAATCCTGTACAGTTTAGAACATAAAGCACCAAGTTGGCAAAATGGAGACATTCAAAGTTTGCCTGCAATTATAAAGCCAGTAGTAATGTAGTAATGATCATGATTTGCTCTTGAAAATTCTCCCAGGATCTCTCATCATTGTCAAGCCTTTTCCTGGAAAGTTGTATCTGCAGTGAAATAAAAAGAAAATGTGTATCACATTTTCAGAAAGGCCAATCCTAATAAGATTTTAATAAATGATGTTTGAGGTCCTGGGTTTAATGTGTGTGTGGGGCTTGCACAAGGTACCCAGACAGCTTGACTGTTTTAATCAGAAGGCCAGAAGAGGAGGAAAATATAAATATGCCTTATTTTCCCTGAATTCCTACCAGACTTTAAAATATGTAAATTTTAGTATTTTTATGTGTTTTTTAGGGAATATACTTTAGAGGAAAGAATCGCTACTTGCGTCTGTGCACTGGTGCTGTTTTTTGCACGATTACAAACTGTGCAGACTACCTGAAGGTTTAAGGGTTTTTTCTTTCTATTTTGTGTTAAGAGGTGAAGGATGCAGGCCTGGGAGCTTAGGGATGCCTCAAACTGGCCTGCTAGTGCACCTCAGAGTCTGGAGTTAATTGCATCAAAACAGTGATTCAACCCTCTGCTGAGGTGATCTTCATAATAATACCTATAAATCATGGTGTGTATATTTAATTTTTTTTAAATTAATCATAATTGAAACCCAAATGCTGGAAACAAATAGTGTTCAGAGGTAAGGTCCCCAGTTAGGCATAGAGCAGCATGTTGAAAAGGCATTACGTGTAACAGGGCTCAAATTCCCCAGGCACACAAATCCTTTTAGGATCTTTTGATTTAGAATGTAATATTCAAGGCACCGCTGTCCTCTTTAAGTGAAAGTTACAAGAACTTTTTCAAAATCTAATTTTGACTCAATTACGTAAATATAAGTTTAGAAATTGAATTTGAAAAACACACCTTGTGTTACGTTTTTTTCTTCCGTAAATGAAAGAAGTGATAATTCTTAAGACATTTTTGCCTTTAGTTCCACTCACTAACAGCCCAATATGAGGAAGCACAAAATAAACTTGACCCTTGAACTTTATAAAAAGAAGCAAAAAAGTAAAGGAGCCACTTAGGACCAGGATTTAGCCTGTGATCTCCTCATACACCATGTGGTGCAGCTGCCCCCAATTCCAGTGCTCAGTTTAAAAGCTGGGACACGGATCCTGTGGCCAGTACCAGGGAAGCACCAACAAGCTCTGAAAAAGTGGTTTGCTTAAAAACAGTATCAAGAGTTGAAGCAAAAATTTAGTCTTTGAGAGTGTTGGTGGGTTTGTTCCCTCTGTGTAAAATGAATAGGTAGGATAATATTTAGGATTGTGATGCAAGTATACTCAGTGCCACCCTTTAGGAGCTGTGCTGTATGTCAGTATGAGTACTATTGTTCACCCCTTTTTTTTGGTATTTGTGGTCTGTATTTTTTGTACAGCATTTGGTATACCAGGAGAAGGGCTGTCTTTAAAGTGTGGGATGAAGAATCAGAAAACGTTGGCTCCCGATAACATTTTAAGTTTAAGGATAAATTTCCAATGGATAGTTCTAAGATCTTGAGATTTTCCTTTAGTAGGCGCATTGTGTATAAGGATGGAAACTTGAAATTAAGTAAGAAGTTATTTTTCTGTAAATAGAATTGTATTCTGCTTTAAAAAAAAAAATTTAATTAAAATATCTAAAATTATCCATTTTGTACACACAGTATCAGACTTTTCTCGTAGTAATTTTTATCTCCAGCAACATCATGATCTGAATAAATGCTGTTACATTTTCTCCAGGACACTTAGTTCTTTGGTGAAGTCTTACTTTGATTTCCTGTGTCTTTCTGACATGAATTTTCCCCCAACTATTCTCTTTAATTGAAGGAGGGTTGAAAACCAATTACTTTTATAAAAGCTGCTCTGTGTTTTGTAAGTGAGCAGAAGGTTTTTTTAATGTAGCAAATCTCTGTTGTGATTCAGAATAATCACTACTGCAGAAAGGAATTCAGACGATGTATACAAAGCAGTAACTCCAGAGCAGTGAGTATAGGCTCATACAAGAAGCATATTCATGTCTAAAACCAAAAGCTCAGGAAATACACATGGCAGAAAACAACCACAGCCCACAGCACACATGAGGGTCCACCATTTTTGCAATAAAAGCTGTGTTGGAATCTGATGTGTGTCCTATGTATTCTGATACTATAGTTACAGGTAAGTAGATACTTACCAATGTTAACTGCCAAGGTGTTTTTCAAAGTCTTTAATAGAGTATTTAAGTATCTAAACACTGTGGGGAAAATTGGCCCACATGACAACTGAGAAGAAACATAGCAACATAAGAAAGGCAAGAAAATAATGAAAATCAGATTAAGATGCCATGGCAGAGGCATCAATGTATGAAATTTGGGTGCAGAGGTAGATATATACTTAGGTATATGTAGAATCCAACTGGAACTGTTACTGAAGGGATAAAACTGCCCATGTAATTAAAATAGAAAAATGAAAGTATTATGTCTT